TTGCTGTTTAACAGCGGAAGACTTTGTAACGATCGGATCCAAGAAATTGTGAGGGAAATCCTCATAATCAGACGTGATTTCGGGGAGGAAATGGAGGATGTCTGGGGTATGATCGGGGTTGTACCGAACCATACTAGGCAAGCGAAATATCGTAAATTATATAAAAAACTACAATACACTAGAAAAATATATGAAATTAATGATTATTATTTTCCATAGCCCAGGAAATTCGAACAAACATGTGATTTTCTCGCCTATAAGAACGGCGGTAGAAGACGTCGATAACGACGTGGGTAAGTTTACATATATCAGTAAAATATTAATTACGACTTATTTTAAAACCACTTTTTATACGCTAATATATATATATAATTTCAGAAATCATCCAAAACGAGCAAGTTAACAAAGAAGTGGAGGTAATCGACATTTCTGGTGATATCGATGACCCACCAATTATCTGGGAACGCTTTCCCGACTATGTCATTGATATCAACGACCCAGCGATTAATTGGGAACATTACCCCATTGCCGAGATTCCGCTCCAGAAACGAGGTAAGACAGCGTTAATTTTCAATATAAATTCATATGTAAGTTCGACATAATTGATGATTTTATCGATCCTCCTTCTTTTCAGTGACCCCTCCGTTCATGATTCACCCTCCAGAATATTTTAGAGCACTCGAGACATTCCGAAAACTATGTGAAAAAAAATTTTTCTAATGTATCCGTACCTATGTAGATACTTTGATGGGAAATAAAAAGAGAAACATTAATACATTAAAAAAAATGTTTATTTATAAAGGTTTACAATTCTCTCCGGGCGCTGAGACCACCAATTGAATATTTTTAATACATTCTGTAAAGCACAATGCTTAATATGATTATTACATCGTAAAATATTGGTTGCATCCAATTTGTCCAAGGAAACTATGTCCTCGTAATCCGCATCCAAGGTCTCGATGATCAGGTTACTTTTTACATTGTCGTCCAGAAGATTCATCAACCATTCTCGCTTTTCACACCCCTTTACGTATACGAGTGGGGGGAAAACGTCTTTATGTTCCACATCGCATGATTTGCCAACCACAGCTGTCGTAATCAAGTGCTTGGCTCTGCTGTATGCAACGATCCCGTCATCCCATCGTAGTCCATGATGATTAACCGTCAACCAGTATACTCTCGATTTGTCGGATCTTGCGAGAAGATGCCATGGCATGGGACTAGTAAAGATATAATGGGAGAGAACAGATCCATTCCTAAGTATCGCTACTTCCTTTACAATAAATCTCTTTCCAACAACGAATCCTTGCAAG